CCACCCTCAGGGGTCTGGGGGGCTCTGTGGTGGGCACTGCCCACCCTCAGGGGTCTGGGACCCACAGGAAAGGGGTTTCCAAGGCTGACGCCCATCGCTGGGTGCCCAGGGAGCAGCCCGGGGCTGCGCCGCTCGTTCCCATTGTGAGCTGGGAGTGGGAGGCTGCGGAGCCGCCGGGAGCTCGGGATGGGCTCTGCTGCCAGGCACGGGAGCCTGGGGCTGTTCTTCCACCGCAGGACAAGGGAGCACCTGCCCAAACCAGCCCTGGCTGCTCCCAAACCATCCCTGCCTGATCCCCCAGCCATTCCCAAACCATCCCTGCCTGATCCCCCAGCCATTCCCAAACTATCCCTGCCTGCATTCCCTGACTTCTTCCGAACCATCCCTGACTTCATTCCCTGACCATTCCCAAACCATCCCTGGCTGCATTCCCTGACTTCTTCCAAACCATCCCTGATTTCATGCCCTGGCTGTTCCCAAACGGTCTCTGGTTTCATCCCCCAGCCATTCCCAAACCATCCCTGGTTTCATTCCCTGACCATTCCCAAACCATCCCTGGTTTCATTCCCTGACCATTCCCAAACCATCCCTGCCTGATCCCCTGGTTGCTCCCAGATCATCCCTGCCTGACTTCTTCCAAACCATCCCTCCTTTCATCCCCTGACCATTCCCAAACCATCCCTGTTTTTGTCTCCTGGCTGCTCCCAAACCATCCCTCTTTTCATTCCCAAACCATCCCTATTTTCATCCTCCAGCCACTTCCAAACCATTTCTGCACCCTGGCCATTCCCGAACCCTTCCTGCCCGATCACCCTGACCATTCCCAAACCATCCCTGCCTGATCCCCTGGTTGCTCCCAGATCATCCCTGCCTGACTTCTTCTAAACCATCCCTCTTTTCATCCCCTGGCCATTCCCAAACTGTCCCTGTCTTTGTCCCCCAGCCATTCCCAAACCATCCCTGTTTTTGTACCCTGGCTGCTCCAAACCATCCCTCTTTTCATTCCCAAACCATCCCTGTTTTCATTCCCCAAGCCCTTCCTGCCCGATCACCCTGGCCATTCCCGAACCATCCCTGTTTTCATTCCCGAACCATCCCTGCCATTCCCGAGCCATCCCTGCCTGCTCCCAGCTCTCCCTCCAGCCCCATTTCTCCCTGTGCCGACACCTCCCCAGGGCCACTCCCGCTGTGCTCACACCTCTCTCCCTCTGCTCCATCCCCGACTCCCTTCGTGAGGCCAAACTCCTGCCACCTCCCACGCTCCCAAGCCTCTCCCGTTGTCCCCGTTCCAGCCTTTGTGGGACAGGGACTGAGGGTGACACTGCGGCAGCTTGGCCCCAAATCCGGGGCTGAATCCCCCCCTTCCATCCCCCCCGAGCTGCTGCCGTCCCTGGAGCTCAGCTCTCCGTGGGCTCCCGCTGCAGCACGGCCCTTTGGGAAGCCTCGCACGGATACAAAATGCAGCTGAAGGCGATGAAAATCCCTAATTTTCCTGCTGATTAGAACTGGAGCTGTGTGACAGCAGCTCTTGGCGTCCCTGTCAAGGCGCTTCAAATGTTTTGTCACCACGTCTCCACGAGCAGGGAGAGAGCCTCGCTTAGGAATTATTGGGAAGGGATTGACAGCCCTGCTCCTCCCGCTGCCTGCCGGGATCAGGAGCTCCTTCCTCACCCTGTCATGCTCTGCTGGGAGCCTCCCCAGCCTCCTCATCCTTCCCACAGACAAAAAAACTCCCGGGGATGGACGTTTCACCTCAAAAATTGGGAATTGTGCAGGTTTTAGTTGTTGGGTGGTGGAGCAACACCAGTTTTTGGCCTCATCTTCTCACAAGTTCTCTGAGGAGCAGCACCTGGCTGGGATCTTCCCTCATCCCATCCTCCTGCTCTTCTGGGGATGGAGGAGCCGCCCCACAGCGAGGGGTGTTTGCCGCAGGCTCTGCCCCCTCCTGGCATCGCTCCGGCTCCCAGAACTCTTCCCAAGTTTTCTGCTGATCCCTGAAGAAGCTCGGCAATAATTGTGCAGCCTTAGCACTTAAAAAAGCGACTTTTTCTGCAAACAAAGCTGCTCACCCCTGGCTCCTGCTGGGCTCGGGAGCCAGCTGGGATCTGTGGGCTGGATGCGGCCGGGCAGGGAATGTCGGATCCAGCCAGGCTGTTGGCACATCCCCGCTGCTGGATGTGGATCTGGGGATGTGGCTGGGTTTGGTGACCCATCCTGGAGCTGGTGGCTTGTCCCTGGAGACCCCGGGAGCAGCATGGAACCTGAGGGATTCCAGGCTCCGGAGCTCCTGGAAGGCACAGGGATATTTGCCAAGGTGGAATGGGGAGGAGCAGGGCGATCTGCTGGGTGCTGCTGGAGGGAAATCAGATGTTCCCTGCTGGTAGGAGCAGCAGAAAGCCGGAGCTGAGAGCAGCCCTTCCCCTGGAGGAAGCAGCTCCATGAAATATTGATGGGATTCACACACAGCAGCCGAGCCGTGCGAGCTGCATTGCAGAGCTCGCGGCCGGAAAGGCAGCGGCAGCCGGAACGGCAAAAGCTCCTCTCCACCTTCCCTCGGTGCCAGGGAGATCAGCCCCGGCCCTGGCACGGCCCTGCCAGCCCTCGGTGCCAGCGGGACAGCACGGCTTGGCATCTGAGTGGGGCCATCCCATCCCAAACCCATCCCAGCTTTCTGGCATCCCCGTGGAGCTTTTTGGGGGTCACGCGGCCCACGGTGCCAGTGAGGTCCTGCTCTGTCCCCAGCTGCCCGCGGTGGCCACAGCCAGCACCGAGGTGCCACCAGAGCAGATGACCCACGCTCCGTCCTGGATTATCTCCGGGATGGGTTGGAGCATCGGGAGCGCCCGGTGCTTGCCGCAGTGTCCCCGTGGCTCTGGTGGCCGGTTGGGCTCTGTCCCTCAGCCTGGCCCTGCCGGGTGGCTTTTGCTCCTCGGATTCCTTGATGTTGCCAAGGAAACGCTGGGATTCAGCGCAGATCTGATTCGAGCGGGCGCAGACGTGGCGCAGGGACACGGGGGACAGGGACGGCGTGGTCAGGGCGCAGCCTCTGCCGTCCTGCAGGGCTCGGGCGTGGATCACCTGGAATTCCAAACCTGTCCCACCTTCCCAGGAACATGGGCATGAAGGATTCTGTGGCATGCTGGTTCCCCATCCTGAGCTGGATCCTCCTGGATCCTCAGCTGGATCCTCCAGGATGTGGCATCTGGAGATGGACGCATCCTTTGGGAATGGGCGTGGGAAGGGAATTGCCATGGGCAGGGTGTGTTTGGACACAGCAAGGAAGATTCCAGTGGGACATTTCTCCTGTGTCTCTGCTGCCTGGAGAGCCTGTGCTGGGACCCATGGGTCCCATGGGTGCTCCCGGTCTGGGTCCCATGGGTGCTCCCGGTCTGGATCCCACCAGTGCTCCCAGTCTGGGTCCCACCAGTGCTCCCAGTCTGGGTCCCAGTGATGTTCCTGGTCTGGGTCTCACTGGTGTTCCCAGTCTGGGTCCCAGTGATGTTCTCAGTCTGGGTCCCATGGGTGCTCCCAGTCTGGGTCCCATGGGTGCTCCCAGTCTGGGTCCCACGTGCAGGAGCAGACGGAAGCACGGAGAGCACCCGGAGCAGCCCCAGCTGCTTCCAGGCTGGAGGAATGGAGGAATGGAGGAATGCCATCCCTCCTGAGCCCTTGGGGACATCCCTGGTCCCTGTCACCCATGCCACGGCCACCAGCTCTTCCCATCCCGATGGAAAACCAGGCCAGGCTCCCATCCCAGCACCTGCCCTTTGGAAAACCATCCTGAGCAGAACCATCCCGTGGGATTTGCTCCAGGACCTTCCTCCCTTGCTCAACCTCGCTCATCCAACAGCCAGCCCTTCTTCCAGAGGCAGCTCCTGTGGGATCCCCGAGCACAGCCCCATCCAAACTTCCCAGCTTTTCCAAGAAATGGAGCACATTTGGGCCCATCCATTAATTTTAAGCTGATGCAGCAGCAATAACGCTGCACCTGCAGCAAATCCCAGCCAGGACGGAACTTTGCTAACCTGCCTGAGCCAGGAGAAGCTGAATTCCAGGACCTGGAGTTCCTCCCAAATTCCCAGCTCACGTGCACCCAATTAGAGCCCTTGTTGGGCAATTAAAATTATACAAGCGGCTGCCTATCAAAGCCGGAGCAATTAATTAGAATGAAATACTTTCAGGGGAAAGTATTTCCAAATTCTTGGAGGAGCAGGTGTGTGGGAGCTGGGATGCTGCAGCCTGTCCTGGGGTGTTGTTGCCCAGGCAGGGCCTCGGGGTGCCAGCTCTGGCAACTTTTTTATTCCCCAAAAAAGCTGATTTTAGGACCTCCCTGCTCCAGTTTTCAGTGCTCTCCCTCCAGCCTCAACAGGGGACAGGAAGAACCTCCTGCCCCACTGCCCGTGGTTTCCAGCCCCGTTTTTTCCTTGGAACACCCACCTTGATGGTTTTGAGGGAGCAAACAGCTCCCAAAATCCTTCTGCCTCCTTCCCTGGCAAGGCAGTGTTCCCAGCCACCCCCACCGTGCTCATTTAACACCTTCCTCCTCCTCCTCCTCCTCCTCCTCCTTTCCCACCTGTGTGGGAGCACCTGTGGGGCTGCTCCCTCCTTCTCCAGAGCTTTTCCCAAGGCACCCGTTTTTCCCAATAATATTTTTTCCCCCCACTCCCTGTTTCTGTGGTGCATTTGGGGCCAGCGCTGCCTCCCAGGCCCGGCTTGTCCCTTCCCACACCTGCAGCCCCCCGGGCTCCATCCCCTCCTGGGCTCACCTGTCCCCCCCTGTCCTGCCTCGAGCCCCACTTTTCCCATCCCTGCCATGGCATCTTTTCCCATCCTCGCCACCCTTCCCTTCCCATGGCATCCGTAGGGATCCAGGCTGGGGGGGTCCTCAGCTCCCCGAATCCCAGCCCAGGGATGCTCCCAGCGCATCCCACCCTGCTGGACCACCGTGGCCCTGCTCGGGGCTGGGAGGAGAACTGGGTCAGCCGGGTAACCATGGAGATGCTGAGGGAGATGCTGAAGCAGCGCCAGCACAGCCCCGGCTCTCCAGAACCCTGGAAAGATTCCCCCGCCCTGGCACCCTCCGGATCCGGCCGGGATGGGGCTGGCAAGCTGAGCGGAGCCTCCTCCTCCTCCCCGGCGCAGGGCCGGTAAGACTCCTCCATCTCCTCTTTCCTTCTAATATTTTTTGGGGGTGCCACGAGCGGGGAGGGGCAGAACTCGGCCCCCGCCATCCTCAGGCAGCAGGGATCGCGATTTTCCTGCCGCTTGTGCTCCTCCATCGGGGATGCTCCAGCCATGACGCGGCTCCCGGCGGTGTCCGTGGGCTCCGTGCGTCCCTCGGGACCCGGGCTGGGCTCGCCGGGGAACGTCCCGGGGCTGCCGGTGCTCGTCGCTTCCCGCAAGGACGGAGCGTGGTGGCGGTGAGGCTGCGGGAGCTGCCCCGGGAGCGGGCCGGGCTGCGGCGGCACGGGGGGATGGCTCCGAGCATCCCGGCGCCTCGGGATCCCGGGAATAAATGCGTGCGGGGGAAGGGGAAATGTGTTGGAAGGGAAAGCTGGTGCGGCTCCCTGACCCCCCCCGCGCTGCCGGGAAGGGGGAGCCGGGACAGGGGCGGCAGCGGGGCTGGGGGCTCGGCAGCGAGCTCGGGAGGCTGTGGTGGCATCGGGGGTGCCGTGGTGGCATCGGGGGTGCCGTGGTGGCATCGGGGGTGCCGTGGCCATGCCAAGGATGCTGTGGTGATGCTGAGGATGCTGTGGCAGTGCCAAGGATGCTGTGGTGGCATCAGGGGTGCTGTGGTGGCATCAGGGTTGCCGTGGCCATGCTGAGGATGCTGTGGTGGCATCAGGGGTGCTGTGGTGGCATCAGGGTTGCCTTGGCCATGCTGAGGATGCTGTGGTGGCATCAGGGCGGTTGTGATGGCATCAGAGGTGCCATGGTGGTATCAGGGGTGCTGTGATAACATCAGGGATGCTGTGGTGGCATCAGGGGTGCTGTGGTGGCATCAGATGTACCGTGGTGGCATCAGGGGTGCCATGGCCATGCCAAAGATGCTGTGGCCATGCTGAGGATGCTGTGGTGATGCTGAGGATGATGTGGTGGCATCAGGGATGCCGTGGTGGAATCAAAGATGCTGTGGCCATGCTGTGATGATGCTGAGGATGCTGTTGTGGCATCAGAGGTGCCATGGTGGTATCAGGGGTGCTGTGATGACATCAGGGATGCCGTGGTGGCATCAGGGGTGTTGTGGTGGCATCAGATGTACCGTGGTGGCATCAGGGGTGCCATGGCCATGCCAGAGATGCTGTGGCCATGCTGAGGATGCTGTGGTGGCATTGAGGATGCTGTGGTGGCATCAAGGGTGCCGTGGCCATGGCGAAGATGCCGCGGTGATGCTGAGGATGCCATGGCCATGCCGAGGGTGCTGTGGTGGCCCCAAGGATGCTGTGATTGTACCAGGGACGCTGTAGTGGCACCAAGGGTATTGTGGTGGTACCAAGGATGCTGTAGTGGTGCCGAGGATGCTGTGATGGCACCAAGGATGCCGTGGCCGTGCTGAGGGCACCGTGGTAGTGCTCAGGATGCTGTGGTGGTGCTGAGGATGCCGTAACCCTGCCAAGGATGCTGTGGTGGTACTGAAGATGCTGTGGCCGTGCCAAGGATGCTGTGGTGATACTGAAGATGCTTTGGCCATGCCAAGGATGCTGTGGTGGTACTGAAGATGCTGTGGCCGTGCCAAGGATGCTGTGGTGGTACTGAAGATGCTGTGGCCGTGCCAAGGCCGGCTTAGCTGTGGCAGCCACACTCAAACCCAGCTCACCTCAGCACCAGGCACTCCCCAAACCCCCCAGGCTGCACCTGCACCGGGCAGAAACAGATTGTGCAGAGAGATACGGAGTAAAATCATGGCAGGGGAAAGCAAATCCTGCCTTCGGGCTGGGGAGGGCCTGGCTTCCTTTGCTGCGGATTATCCCTGTGTGTATTGCATTGGAAATGATCCCATTAGCGCTCTGCTCTCCTGATCTAATTTGCTCCCACCAGAGCCCGGCACTCTCCGGGCTGCTGGAGCAGCACCAGGAGCCCTTTGTGTTCTCCTGGCCCTACAGGCGTGGGGTGTTCCAGGGATTTCTCACCTGGAACGTGGAGGGGCCTGGGCTGGGCCCGGCTGAGCCCTGGTGCAGAGGGATTTGTGTTTGTTCAGGCACAGCCTAAGCCAGGTTTGCCAGTGGGGAAACTGAGGCACAGGCTGGGGAAGTGTTTGGGATCCATTCCCTTTGTCAGGTTCATCCTAAGGGAATCCTCAGGGATTGCAGCAGGTTTGGAGTCTGAGAGTGGCGGGTGGCACTGGAAAGTGTCACCCCAAAGGTCCCCAAGGCAGCGGATCAGCCCTGACACCTCCTCGAGGAGGTGCTGGACATCGGCACGTGGCTGTGATGGGGCAGATCCGGAGCTGGGATTGCACCTGGTGCCAGTGGCTCCATCCCTCCGGAGCTGGGATGCATCCCACTCCAACACCTTTATCCAAGGGCTCCATCCCTCTGGAGCTGGGACACATCCCACACTGATGGCTTTATCCAAAGGATCCACCCCTCTGGATTGAGGCTCATCCCACACCAACAGCTTTATCCCAGAGAATCCATCCCTCTGGAGCTGGGACACATCCCACACCGATGGCTTTATCCAAAGGATCCATCCCTCTGGATTGGGGTTTATCCCACACCAACAGTGGCTCCATTCCTCTGGGTTGGGGTTTATCCTACACTGGCAGCTTTATCCAAGGGATCCATCCCTCTGGATTGGGGCTCATCCCACACCGACAGCTTTATCCAATGGCTCCATCCCTCTGGATTTGGGCTCATCCCACACCGGCAGCTTTATCCCAGAGGATCCATCCCTCTGGATTGAGGCTCATCTCACACCAACAGCTTTATCCCAGAGGATCCATCCCTCTGGATTGAGGCTCATCCCACACCAACAGCTTTATCCCAGAGGATCCATCCCTCTGGATTGAGGCTCATCCCACACTGGCAGCTTTATCCCAGAGGATCCATCCCTCTGGAGCTGGGGGCCAGTGCTGAGCGCCCCCAGGCACAAGGAGTGGGGGGAAGGCCGTGGGTCAATGCCTGGGCAGAGCCAGGAGGGAAAACCCCAGCCAGGAGGGAACTCATTAATGCTATTAATGACTAATCACCCACTCACCCCTGCAACTGATAAATCCAGGAGTTCAGCGGTGCTGGAGCTGATCCCACAGCTCCTGCCAGGTCTCATCCATGATTCCCATCAGGTCTCATCCCAGCTGTGCCCTGTGTGGAGCCTGCCCCGCTCCCCATCCCCCTGCTCGTGTCCATCCCTCTCTCCTGAAAGGGAAACATTTTTCCAGGCGCTGCCTCCATCCATTATCACAAAGTGGCTCTGCTTGGCCTGCAGTTAATAATTCACCTTTCCCTGGAAGATGGATGCTCCATCCCTCTGGACTTTAAATATTCATGGGCAAGGGAAGGCGGCAGGGCTGTGCGGGAGCTCTGGCATCCGCTCCCGCTGCTCCATGGATTCCCATCCCGGGGTGGGATCACCTGCAGCCGGCTGAGCTGGACACGGTTTGGGGAAGGGGACGTGCAGGGAAAACTTGGCTGGATGCGATTTTGGATGTCCTCAGGGGTGGATGGGGCTGTGCCCGAGGGATCTCTCACCCTGGCTGGGCAGGCTGGTGGCACTCAGAGCCTTCTGCCCATCCAGGTGTCTCCTGGATGTTGGGAGTGTCCTGGTCCCGCAGGGAGCTGAGGTAGGGCTGGATGTTCACCCCAGGACTCCTCACCCCTTCCTGCTGCTCCCACGGGTGGGGAAAAATAATGGAATATACCGAGATTAAAGGAACCCACAAGGATCATCCAGTCCAACCCCTGGCCCTGCACAGACACCCCAAATCCCACCCTGGGCATCCCTGGGAGCGGTGTCCAAGCACTCCTGGAGCTCTGGCAGCCTTGGGAATGATCCCGAGGGAGCCTGGGGGGGTTCCCGAATCTTTCCCCGATTTCCATCCCTCAGTGGGTCATGCCACCTGAATTTCCTGGATTTGCGAACGCTTCGATGGCACCGCCCATCCCTGCGGGGCCGCGCCAGCGATGCCACGACCCCTCAGCGTCCCCAACTTGTCCCCGCAGCTGATCCCGGGCAGCAGGGCCGGTGCCGGTGCCGGCGGGCGCGCTGACCATGTTCAACGGGGATGCCAGCTCCTCGTCTGCCAGGAATGTGGTGCGCAGCTCCAGCATCAGCGGCGAGATGTACAGCCTGGAGAAGAGCGCGCGCGGCAGCGCCGACTCTGTCTCCGTCACCGTCACCGCCAGCAAGAAGCGACGCTCCAGCCTGGGCGCCAAGATGGTGGCGATCGTGGGGCTGTCC